GGTTTTCCTTATCCGGAAGGGTAAAAGCCAGAGGCTCTGAAGCCGAGGTCCTAAGCCGTGCGTGAATCCTCTGTCCCCCATGATACGCTGAGAAACCAGAGCCCTCCCGCAGAGCCTGCTGCCGCCAGGGGAGCGCTGCGCGGGATGACACACGCGCCGAGCAGCGGCCCTTCGAGACACCTGTTTCACACTGGGCTCACTGAGGTAGAAGTGTTTTCCCCCTACCCATAACTTTCAAAATCCAGTCCCCCCAGACCAGTTTCAAACTCCCTGTGGGTCCCTGGACGAGCCAGCAGTGTCCCAGCGGGGAAGATCTGAGCCCCAGGTGCCACTCATACTTGATGCTAGATGACACAGTACCAAAAAAATCCAACTCCCAAACCTCAAACTCAGATCTTTTTATACGAATTCATTTCCCACGGATCACATTTCAAAGATCTCTCTCTGCTGTTGGTAATTCTTTAATAACAGAGGGGTTTATTGTTCTTATAATTTGGACCCTCTCTCATTTCTGTGTCCCGAGACTGTACCAGAAGCAACAACTGCCCCCCTGATCTGTCAGTGGCATTCGACTCTTGGCCCTCCAAGAGGTTCTTCTCCTTTGCTCCCCTCCCGAAGAGTCTCTCACCTTCTAGTTTAATACTCTGGGGAATCACTTCAAAGCGCACAACCCTGTAGGTGGGCTCCTGGTTCTCTTCCACATCCTCTCTGTGGTAGTAAAGGATGAAGGAGAGGTGGTTGTGCAGGTAGAACTAAAACAGATCGACATTAAATAAAACGTTAGCACCCCAGGGGAGGAACAGGCAAAGTTCAGAAGCAACAACTGCAGAAAGCAGCTTTCGGTGCAGAGAACTGAAGGCTCCAACTGTTCCCAGACACGTCGTGCTACAGAGCAAGACCAGGCTAACACTGTCCAGGGCTGCGAGAACAAGAGGAGAGCACAGAGATGTTGAAAAGGCAACAACACCTCAACCACTCCAGGCATGAGGGATAATGTTTCCGTCTATTTCTGGCCTTGAAAATCATCGTTATATCTCACATCTCAACTGTGACGTCAGCGGAATCACCAGACTGAGGTTGGAAAGATCTCAGCAGCCGCAACCCCGAGCTTCCCACCTGCTTTTCCTACCAGGCAGACGTGTGTGACCCCGACTCCGGGGGTCCCACAGCGCCCTACGCTCACGCCTTTGCTCTTACATCACCTACTACAGAACAAGGTGCCACGAGGCCGAGCTGGCGCCGCGGGTTCCCTCGCCCCCCAGAGCTCTGGCTGCAGCAAGCAGAACACCCGAGCCTGCCAAGGCAAAGGGCCCGTCCTGGGGCACGCAGCCACGGGCCGTGTCTGCAGGAATACACAAAGCTTCCATTGGCAAACTTAAAGCAGCTTTGCCTCCAATAAACACTTGACTTTTTTTTTTTTCCCCCCAAATGCGAGATGCTCCAAGAGCATCAGAGGTCAGCCAGCCCTTGGGGCACGCTGCCTTTGCCCTGAGGGGACACCGCTGCCTGAGTTTGACTCGCTGGACGCAGCCAGAACCCCTGACGATCGCACCAGCAGCTCAGCACCCACCCCCTTCTTCCAGCAAGAGCCCTCTCTCCTATTTCCACTCTTTAAAAAAACCTTCTGGTTGCACTCCCAATTCTGATATTCCCTGGTAGACTCCTAACTCCCCCTGCCAGACACCCCGATCTCTGGGCACCCCTCAGACAGCACCCAGATTCTCTACCTTGTTACCGTCCATAAACCCAAGCCTGTATCCATGCTCGAACTGCACGTCCTTCTCCTTCTTCTTCTCCTCTTCCTCACGATTGGAATAAAACTCCAGCCGTGTTGCCACAGGGAGGTTATCAGCAATGCTGAAAATACAGATTTCACATCAAATTTGCCCACAACACCGAATCCCCGCTGACGCGAACCCACGCTCCAGCTGACTCACAGGTGGACATAGTAATCTTCCCGGATGCGCTCGGCGATCAGCTTGCTCTGCTCCACTGTCAGAGTGACCGGCTTGTTGGGCAAGTTGCATAGAACTTCACATTTCTTCTCCATGTTCATGGAAACCTGGAAAGGTGTATTTACAATTCGGTCCCCCCGAAGAACCTCACCTAGAAAACAGGAAAAGAAGGGCGGGGTTGAAGGCTGCCGGGCTTCTCGGCACCAATCCCGGGTTGGCAGCACACTGGGCAGCTGGCAGCGCCACAGCCAGGCTCCTCTGGGACCACAGACGCCAGGACGAGACTGAAGAGCAGTTCAGCTCTTTCGCTGGAAGTATCGAGGGCTACTTAGGCAGCAGTGTACATGCCCTCCTTCGGGTAAGGGGCTTCCTCCTTCCAGTATCTGGGCATCCTGGTTTGCAAACAGCATATAAATTGGAGGAAGCAAGCGCTGACAACCACTTTATTAGAGACGACATTTGCAATTGCTTTTAACTCCTGTAAACGTCCCCTCAGGCAGCTCCCGAGCAGCACGCCCCCGCCGCTGGGGAACGCTGCTCAGCGGATACGTACCGAGATTCTCAGCCTTGTACGTTATCTTGGTGGGCTGGCAGAAGGGCAGCGAGTAGTACTCGTATGGTAGCTGGGTTCGTGAGCTGGTCAGCTTCACAGCCTGGAGGAACAAGGGAAGGATTATCCCCAGGAAAGAACTCAGACAGTTTCCCGTCCTCTCAACATCAGCCAGGAGCTGAAGCTTACTTCAGGGGCACCTGCCATAAAGCTCACTTTTGGAGACTGTTGAATTAACAAAACAAAACCAAAAAAACAAACAACAACAACAAAAAAAGAGACAGATGTTCCTGGAAGAGCTCCAGCTCCTCTACACTACCATTTAGTAGCAATTCATTCACAAACTGAGAAACACTTGAAGAAAGCAGCACAGTGGATTGGTTTCACAATTTATGACTCAGTGGAGCCCTAAAAAACAACAAAGAGCTCAAAAGAGATTCAAGAATCACATTTCAGACAAGACTGCAGTTACTTCCTCAAAACCAAATTCACGTCACACTGGACCTAGAGCTCTAGTGATACGCAGAGTTCAGCAATTTTCATCTCTGTGAGGAAAGCCAGAGCCCTCCGATCGGGACCACGAGGGATGGCGACAGAACCCAAACGCTTGTGGAGCTCCCACGGCTCACAGGCACGAGGGAAGCGCAGCGACGTACCGCGACAGCCAAGGCCACAGCTGCTCCGAAAGCCACAAGTGTTTTGTAATCAGCCAGGGTCATTTATTGGAAGAGCACTGGCAAACACGCTGACCTGCCTTATCACTTGAGGGAGCAGTGGGCTCTCGAAAGCCCTCTGAGAACAGTTCCATACCCCCTTCTTCTGGGAAGCTTCCTGTAGCCACAGGCAAGTCTCATTTGCTTAAAAATAGCCTGTGTCTGGCAGCCTGTGGCCAAGGAGAGAACTGTGCTGTGCTTCATGTGGGAGCAGCCAGCCTCAGCGTCCCCATGGGTGCTGGATTTTGCTGAGACAGAGGCCACAGCTTTAGAAAAATAAATGAAATGGGCCATAAACTGCTGATGTCTGGAAACAAAGTCCAGCTTCCCCCTGTAGGGGTGAAGCAGATCCATCACTCACTACCAGCAATGCTGCACAGGAACAGCTCTCAGCAAGCCTGGGTTGTAAGATCTGCAATGCTCAAGGACAAATGCCTGCACCAAACTGACTCCAAGGGGTTTATCATGGATTTCACTTGACTTGAAGACACAACGTGAGAAAACTGGTGAGAAAACGGGAAAGGTGCGATTCAAACCACTTCTTTATTCTGCCACTCACCTACCACCGAAAGGCCCACTGTGAGAGTCAGCATAACGCTGGAGAAAAATCTCTGATTAAATTCACTTCGAAGCTACAGTGAGAGAGAGAGCCCTTTGCCCAAACAGACCAACACCTCGAGGACGTTGGTGCAACCCCTGAAGGGACTTGGTCGAAGATTTAAGAAGCAAGAAAGAGAATCATGTTGGGAACTGCAGGGTATGATGATGACAGTGACCACTTGAGGGCTGCTTATCCCCAACACCCTACAGGAATATTGTGAAAAAAAATATCTGCCCCCAAAATTTTAGTAACAGGAACCCCACATTTGACTTTCTAGTCCCACTTTGCTGCTGTGATACCAAGAAGGGAAAAAACAAACCACACAAAAAAAAACCCAAGCAGACCAACAGCTCCATCCAAGCCCATCCTACCTTTATTTCTACAGGATCATTGTGGTGGAAGTTGATCGGAGCCACACCAGGTACATAGAAAGAGTCTGTACCGTGCAGCAACAACAGCAAGACCAGCATATATCTTAGCCTTTCCTGCAAAAAGGAGAAGAAACATTGAAAGACAACAGAAACACGGGAGCAGCATTAGCGAGGGGCCACACGACTGAAAGTGTTCACCCCAGACGTTAGAAAGGCCGCACAGTCAGGCAACTCAACACAAATTAAATTCCCAAAAGCCATTTTTGACTTCGTTTTGTGACTCTCATCAAGTCGCTTTACACTCTCTGAGTCTCCGTCTCTTCACCCGCAAGGAAGAAAACATTGGCTTTGCCCAACCAGAAAAAAAATTGTGCTTCTGATCCGTAACGTGCTTCGTCCAGCAGGCTGTCACCTGACTTCTCTACTCCCAGGCATCCAACACCCCAGTGCTAAAAGCGCCATGGATACCAGAGAAGAGGGATGCTCAGGGGCCGGCGACACCAAACCAGGCGCTCGCCTCACCCGAAGGGGTGGCGCATCCCTGCTCCCGCCTATTCAGTCTTCCCTCTTCGCCCCTCCGGGCCACCGCACAGCTCAGTAACACGGCAAAAAAATCGATGCCCTTTTTTCAGGGAGTGGGGAGACGGCTCAGGCTGGAAGGTCAGTCAATTCCGCGGGGGCTCCAACACGAACCAGACCCCGTACAGCAGCAGCAAACCCCTGAACGGGCTCTGTTCCTTCCCCGGGTAAGCCAGCCCAGCACGAGCAGGAAGGCGTGGGAAAACCAAGCTTTAGAGAGAATTAAAACACCAGCAGCTTGGCTGGATTAGAGCATCAATTCCAGAATAATCTCATTGTGTTACGAGCTTCAGCCCGCTCTCCTAAACTCCCTGCGTGTGCAGCACCACTGGAAAACCACACACGCAAAAAAAGCAGAGTCTGGTCTGGGACAACTCCTGAGCTGATGCTGCAGCCGTAACAACCCCAACTGCTGCCTTCCCCCGCGAGTCCTCGCACGGCAGGCAGAGCCGGGCTCCGTCACCTCCCGACGGTCCCGCTACGTGCGGGGGCAGGAGCCAAATACCGAAGGGGAAGGCGGAGGAAAGAGCCCCACAAGTGAGCTGGGCTGGGACTGGAAGGAGCCACCCCCAGCCTGGGGCCTGCTCTGGCTCAGCAGGGCCTGGGGCTCAGCACCGCCCTCCCAGCGACCACCAGATCAGGGCGGGGGGAAGATAATCTGTGTTTATTGCCCCCACAAGCCCTTCCTCTTCCTCACCTTCCTTTTGCCTTATTCTGAGGCCACTAAGGTACGTTTGGCCCAGGCACCAGCAAGGATCAATAGAGCATCCAGTACTGCTGGCACTGAGCAGGATGGAAAAAAGTCATGAATATTGGGGCGGGGGGGTTTAAAATCTAAAATGTATTTAAGATGCAAACTCTAGGCAGCTACATAAAACACGTTAATACTAAATACTAAATTATCAGATATATCTGTTTCGCTTACGAGGGAGATCTCGAGATCCATTCTAAGCACAGCTCAATGCAGTTAGAGGGGCAGAAAGCCTCCTCTGGAAAGCACCCTCCTAAAAATCACTTGGACTTCAACACTGCTCTACCCCGAAACAATACGGGGCTTGTCTCCCGGGCTAAATGCTGCCTTCTCTGATCTCTGTGACTCCGCGACCGAGGAGGAAAAGGTCTCCCAGGCAGGTGAAGCACTGAAGGAAACACTCTTGCCCTCCATCGCGCTCTCCAGCAGCCGGCGACCTGCAGCAGTTACCTGGCTGCGATCCTCACCGAGGTGCCAGACACGCACAGACACACAACGTTACTTAACAGAAACCCAGACCGCGCCAGGGCCACCCTCGCCCTGAAGAGCGTGCAAGATGACAAGGTAAGGACAGAACTTTGGAAGGCGCTCAGGAGACACACAGGCATGTAGGAGATGAAATTCTTGGTGACACCTTTGACAGAAATCAGGCTCTCTGCATATAGATGACGATGACTCAGGCAGCACCAGGCAACAGAAAAGACAAGAGGGGGACTGTGGAAAGTCTTGCCAGGAAAAAAACATTTGGTAGCAAGAAATGGGAACGCTGCTACGCAACAGGTCGGGGGAGCTTTGGCAGCCAAATCTGAAGGAAATGCCCAGCGCAGGTTCCCGCGGCTCACGTGCGGGCTGAAGCCTGGGGCCTCTCTCATCAGGATCTTTGCTCCCGTACTGACAGACGCGCCTCACCTTGTCCCAACGAAGGCCCCTGCACGACTCACGGGCCTGGCCAGGCCATCGGCTCCTTCGGGACATGCCCACAAGCTACGTTACCTCCAGCACAGGGTCAAACCACGGCTGCCGGGGCTCTGCTTTAGTGCAGTCACCAACCCCCGGACGGCCGGCAGGCAGGAGCGCCCGCCTTTGGGGCCTTTACCAAGTGTTTACATTTCAAATCGCAGACAGGCAGAAATCTCCCAGATGACAGTCTTGCATCTGAGGTGCCAGAAAAATCGTACAACGAAGCAACAAGTAGCACAACAAATAGGCACAACTCCAGATCAAGAAAAACCCAGCTGCACGCAGACAAGAGTAATTTGGATTGACTAAGTTTTATTATTTTACTACAAGCGGACACACTTACAAGAGACCCTTTCTTAGGGGAATACGACCTAAATGAGAGAAGTAACTGCAGAAGCACAATCAACCCCTGTCCCCCAAATCACAGCGCCGGGTGAGAAGCATCGCTCACACGGGAGGGCTCTATCACAGGCGAAGAGCCTGCTGAAGGAAAGCAAACCTCGCTCTCTCAAAAAAGACAAAATCCGTTTCAAAACGTCACTATATTCCTTCCGCACACAGGACCCTGCCAGAAGTCGCACTCAGATCTCCCTCTCGCACCGGCAAAAAGCAGCCTGGGGAAATCATGGCATGAGGCAGAGCATCACACCGGGAACCGCGGGCAGGGCGCTGAACCACCCCCCGAGCAGCGGCACCCACCGCTCTCCCCACCAGCACACCCGTCCCCGATGGGCAACGGCAACTACCCCGAGGTCTGCGGGAGCTCTCCTGAAAGGTTTTGAAAATCTATTCCTGTAATTAACTTTAGAATGAAGCACTCAGCTGTAAGAATAAATTAACACAAACTGTTCTAACGGTATTTCCTGTCCTGTGCGCAGCAGCGGGACACGCAGAAACCCTCCCCGAGGAGGTACTTCTGGATAATTATCACTAGACTTGGTGTTTATTATATCTGATTATATCTGATTGATGTCATTTAGAAAGGCTCCAACAATATTGCCGCTTTCTGCGAATTCACAACGGGTTTACAAAAACACGCTGCCAAAGCAGAGGAATTGTCCAGCTGAATCCCAGCCTGACCCCGCGTGAAGAGACCCCACTACGTGGATTTATGCCCCGACCACACACACACACGTGTGTCTCCCTGCAGCTTGCGGCCCCTGAAGCTGCCACTGACAGGGCCTGAACCCCGACATTTATTTATGGGAAGGGGGAAACCGGAGCCAACAAGCAGTTTTTCCCTGTGGCACTCTGCCAGCATGCTCTAAAGGAAACCCAGCAGGCCCATGGCTGGGCCGTTCGCATCCGGGCCATCCCTGCAAATGTTTTCTACAGACTGGGAGAAACCTTCGAGCAGCAGCAAGTTCAAGCGTTTTATCGGGGCTGGTACCACACGGGGGCTGGTTCAGGTCTTACAGTTTCGTAATCCACATAAAGAAAAGACCACAACACAGTATTTGCTCAAAGGGAGGCAGCGGAAGGAGGAAGAGGCAGCGATGGGTATCGGATGAATGAGATGATGGACATTGTCCCGTTTCTTTTCTGCAGAGAAGAGCAAGAGGGACAAACAGCCATAACCGAGAGCTTTTAACTTTCAATGACAGTTTCGAAGGAAAACAAGGAAAACACAACCTATGCAGAGCCATTTGTCCAGCTGGATCACAAAGCTCCAATACCCTGTTCCACTTCCCAAAACTCTTTAATATGGTGACAGAAAGGGAAGACAGACACAACCCACTACTTTGTGGCAGGAAAAAATATAATCCACGGGTAACAGAGCAAGCTGAAGCTCGCTGCCACACGTAACACTTATTGTACCCTCGGGCACAGTAACAGGACGTGCACAGTGCTAAGGGTACCTGCTCTGCACCCCCTCCGAGGTGCCAGCCTGGCACTCGCCCCCCTTTTTCAGGGGTTGCCTCCTTAGATATTCTTCTCAACTGTTTGGACAAGCTCATCTTTATTGCATCTCTGCCCAGCTCACCCCTGCACTCAGAGGAGTCGCTGAAAGCCTTTCGAAGGGAGACAAGTGCTGCATTCACGTTGATTTCAGAGAGCTCCTTTGACATCGGGAGAGCTGCTAGCAGTCTCCTCTGCCCTTCAGAAAAGAGAAGGCTACAAGGAAATTCCCAGTAGGACCATCTTCAGCTCGCAAAGCCAGCTCGGACACTCCCTCCTCCCTGCCCGGGGGAAGGCCAGCAGAGTATGAAGATGCTTAAAGTAAAATAAATTAAATCCTCTGCTCTTCCAATCGCCCTTCCAGTCTGTAACAATCTTTACGCCACATGAGTCACCTCACATCCCCTACCCTGGCCAACGGCGACCTTTGATTCAGCACACATCATTTATTCATGCACCTATTCTTGCAACGCGTTATCAAGGAAATACCCTTCTTCGAAAGCAAGGAGGAAAATCCATTTTTCCACTACCAGACCTCAGGCAGCTCGTTTCCTCTGCCGTGAGGCGGCACCGACGCTCGCCTGCCTTCGCAAAGCCCCACCAGAAACGTCCTCCGCCGTCCGAGGCTGCAGGGAACAAACTCGCTGACAGCGCCGAGAGGCCGAGCCGCGGGGAGGGGCAGCGGCAGGGAACGAAAACCGCACGCGAGGCAGCAGCCCCTTCCCCGGGTGTGAGCGCCCGGGTCAGGCCAGCGCTCCCCCCCGAGGGAACGTCACGGGGAGGAACGGCCGCCCGGTGCGCCCTACAACCGGGAGCGCCCCAAGTCTCCGCTCAGGCCGCGGCCGTGCCCCCCCGGCAGAGCCCCCCGTCCCTCCCGCCCAGACAACGCCGTGAGTCCTGGAAAC